GTTCGTGCACCTGCACCAGTTGCTGGTACTAGCAGAGATGCAGCAACACAGACAAATGGGTTGTCCTCTTCAACTGAGGTAATTATGGTGTGCATGCGTATTTTCCTTTCTGCTTTGGGACATCAAAGATTTCTAAATAATTAAAAAGATATTTTGCAAAAGAAAATGAAGGCTGACTGTGAGCCTTAAACAGATGTCACTTTTTTCTTGAAAGGTGTGCATTTTATCATTTCAGGTGCAAGATACAGTGGAAACAAGCCGGCAGTGCGGAGAGCCCAATTCTGCCACAATGGTTCTGAGACCAAGACAGGGTGAGTATTGCTACATATCTCAACTAAAATAAGTAAAGTGTGCTGTATTCATAATCAATATGAATTGTTAAAACAGGTACAGTATCAGCAGACTCACTGTGACCGATGAATTTTTCTGATACTGAAGAATTTGAAGAAACCAACGATCCAAATGTAACAAGATTTTCAAGATGCATTATTGGTAAACGCAATGTTGGAAGATATGCACTTATAGGCTGTGGTGACTTCCCATGTTGCGGATGCTGCACCAAGAAATGGTACGTTGAGATTGAAGGGGTACCGTGTCCCATTTGTAAGAAGAGGGTCAGTGGTTGGACCAAAGTGTTCAACCAAAATTAGTACAGTATTCTGGTTAATATTTTGAGTTTTTGTATCATTTTTCCATTTGTTTAGCACTTATTCAATACTTTTTCTCTTACATATTATGTGTAGCATATTTCAGTGCTTTGTATACTTTTTTTGTCTTAAACATTGACTAGAATATTCTTAAAACGAGTGTAGCATATTAAAATACGTTGTATTTTTGACCTTTACATTTTCACATTTGTTTATTAGCACTTCATGTCTAATATTCAGGGGTGGGTGAGGTAGTCCATCTTCAGTACCTAGGTAAGGTAGCGGTAGAATTGAAAAATGACTACCTAGGTAGGTATTAGGTAGTTTACCGAGCTCACTACCTAGGTAGGTATTAGGTACTTCCGTCCGGTACCTAGGTACTTTTTAGGTACTTTTAGGTACTTTTCAGTTTTTTTGGTACGTCACAGTTCTGACGATTTCGCGTAATGTACCTAGTATTTTACGTTTCCACTCACTAATACCAAGCATTTTGTAGCGAGCCACTTTACAATAACTTTTTTGGGAGTAGTTTGTTGTTTCTCTGCTCTGTCTCACTCGCATAGCATGTGGGTGAGTTCATCACCCGTTTCCCTATCCGCTAGTAAGAAATCCACGGTCAAGGACACATCCGGAGCTGCATATTGCGTTCGCCTTTTGTGCGTAATGGACCTGTCGCGGTCCCAAACATGTGGCCTGCAGCCGGGAGGTGGGTGGGGAGGGGGGTCCTCCTTTGTCTATTCGAGGAAGGAGGTTGACCGGGGGCAGCCGGAACGAATTCTCCATAGTTTTACTCCCTCCACAGTGCCAAAACAAAGCCCTCCCGAAAAATAAAGTTTGGTGGTGACGCTTATTTGACCCTTTCATCTGGTGGATATAGGTTTTAAAGTACCTTGGAAAGTACCTACAAAAAGACGGTATAGGTATTCCAAAAAGTACCTAGGTATCGGTAAGGTAGAATCGAATCTTCAGTACCTAGGTAAGGTAAGGTAGTGAGAAAAGTACCTAGGTACTACC